TCTGAGCACATTGCTAGCATGCATGAGGTTTTAGGCTCAATTCCCAGTACTGGAAAGGAAAAAATAAAAAAGAAAGAGCCTGATGTGATACACATATGTAACCCTAGCCCCCAGAGGCTGATGCAGGAGGTCTGCAAGTTCTAGGCCATTCTGGGTTAGATAGTGACACTCTGTCTTAAAATAAAAACAAACAGAAGCAGTATGTCTGGGGATGTAGTTCAGTGGTAGAGTCGCTGCTTACAGACACATCTGGATTAGATCCTCTGCCCTGTGGAAAAATAAATACAAATAAAAAAAATAAACAAAGCCAGGTGTGATGGTACTCAGGAGGCAGAGTCAGGAGGATTACTACAAATTCAAGCCTAGCCTGGTACACAGAGTGAGTTTCAGGCTGGCAATAGCTGGTGAGGCTATGCCAAAAAACCCCAAATAAGTAAATCGGTAAATGAATGAATGCATATGGAACTTGGTCCAGTTCACTTAACTTGTATAGTTCTCCAGGCCTTGTGCACACTTGCTGTTCTGACTTTTACCTCTTACTCTTTCACTGTTTAGATATCAAGCACTCACACTGAAACTACTCCGGCAGAATTACACAACACTTCCTTGAAGCAAATGCCAGCATTTTTTCAGTGCTTGCCTCAGGTGACCTTTCAGAAACATTAAACACTGCTAAGCTTTCCCCCTTCTTCCCTTACTTATCTAAGATTTACTAAGCACCTACAGGTACCAACAGTCACTGTGGCAGGTGCTAGAGTACAGCTGTGACAGACATAGTTTTTGGCCTCAAGGAAACAAGTTCCCAGGAGAGAAAGACAAAGAAACAGACCTTTATAATGGTGGGAAGGGAGTGAAAACTAGGGTGTTATGGGAGAGGTGTCGAGACAGGATATGGAGCTTGCTGCAGCAGTGACAGCTTCCAGGGGACGACAGACTAGGTGAGGGCTGGGCAGACAAGAAAGGGGTCATTCCTGGCAGGGTGAAGAGCAAATATAAAGACCTAGAAATGAGAAAAGGGACCAGTGACATGGGCATGTAAGCTCCCATTAAACCCAGGCTTCAGGAACTCAGTTATCTACATATGGCAAGTTGTTTAGGCTTTGTGTAGTGACTATTCAAGCAGAAATGTGAGAAGGAGTCTGATGTAACTCCCAAGGTCAACAAAAGAGGCAGGGGAGAAATCTCTATAGAAATAGATTGAAAAAACTCAACGTCAGGGAGGAAGAGAGTTTCAGAATGCAGGAGACATGAGAGATTGACGCTGCCAGATCACCTGAGAGAATAAGCCATCCTGGAGGCAGATGCTTTCCCTGCCAAGTGGGGGCTTCTATTTCATGCTGATGTTATTCCTACATCTCCAATTGCTGCTCTGTAAGTCTTCCCAGTGAGGTAGACCACACTCCCCTCCACCCGGGAAGCTTTCTTGGTTTCCATTTCCTGTTCTCCCATTTTCATGTCCATCCACCCAGCGAATGTGGGAGCCTCACCAGGGCAGGGGCTGCACCACTGTCTTATTCACCCAATGCAATACCAGCTCACTTGATGACTGATTTTTCTAAACACAAATTAAACAAAATGAACCTTTGCAGTGCAGGAATTGGCTTTTACTTCTCTTCTTGGTAATACTACTTACAGTGGTGGCCACTCAGTCAACTAATTATAGTAATGGGCCTGCAGGAGAGTTTAGAAGTATTTCCTCCTGCTCTGAAAACCCAGGTCTCCAAAACAACCTGATTGTTCCCCTTCTCAGGCCTCAGATCTCCGCGCTGCAATTCCTCTTCACTGTTAACTGTATGTACTTCCTAAGACGCAGCGTCAAGTCTTAAAGCTCTCCTTCCTCCAGCTGATCCTGACTTCATTAAACGAAGTCACAACCGTCTCTCCTTAGCCCAGGTATAAATGGGATATATCACTGCTGGAGGTTGTAAGAAGTGGAAGAGGCACACTGTAAAGCGCGGTGCACATTTATCTTTACAGACGTATAAGCACCTCCAGAGCAAGCCTCCAGGGAAGGCAGACCCCTCCCTACAGACGCAGAGGACAAACTCAGTTTCTCTGCGGCGCTCCGGGAGCATTCAGCCGCGATCCACCCTCAGATTCACCAGCGCAGGCCAGGGAACCGCGCAGCGCGCGAGCCGGACCGGTTAAGTCTCTGCTTTGGCTCCGACCCGGGAAGCAGACCCTAGCGCCAGGCGTGACCATACGCACCGTAGGGGCTGGGGCCTCCGGCCTCACGTCGGGGACTCCTCGAGAGCTGTCGGACCCGGGCTGTAAACGCCGCCGCCGCCCGCCTCCCGGAAAGAGCTGCGCAGGTCCCTCTTTCTCCGGGAGGTGCCGACGCTTCCGTGTACGTCATCAAGAGGCGCCGGTTGCGGAGCTTACACTTGAACCTCTGGTGTCCAGGCATGCCGGGATACCGCGGGCGGGTCTCCATAGCAACCGGCCCACAGTCTCCGAGGCCTCCAGCCTGCCTTAGCTTTTGTGGTCTGTGCCCTTGGGTCCACTGCGGATAACATGATGCTCCTGCCCACAACCCTTCAACTCAGGAGAGTAACAGAGCCATCTGTGGGTCTGAACACTCGTTTATTTACACACTGTCATACGAAGGCAAATGCACAGCCCAACCTACTGGAGGGCAAGAGCTGAGACTTTAACCCCCGGGACCCACAGACCCTTCCCTCCTTTAGGGAGCTCGGAGGGCGAAGGCTTGAGAGAACCAGGAAGCTTACATTCTACCCAGTCTGAGCGCTACATTCTATGTTTTCGTCTTTCTTTCCAAAAGGCTCATTTTATTAAGTACTCGGGATTCTCAGATTTATTCCATTCATACTTTTTGCTCTGCTGCTATCCACCCAACATTGTTAATAATAACAATATAATAATAACAATAGTAACACTGTAATAATATTAATAATACTTCACATTTGTACGAAACTTACAGGATGTTTTCACACACAGCCTCTCATCTGAGCCAACAGTTCTGTGAGGTAGGTATTTTCACCTCCCTTTTTACAGACGGGGTAATGGAGGCTCAGAGAGGTAACAGGATTTGTTCAAGGCCACACAGCTAGTTAGTGGTAAAGCTAAGACTTGATCCCAGCACCCCATAGTCAAGTCCAGTGTTTCAAAACCACAGCTACCTCTGTAAAGTGGAGGGATGTTTCTTACCCCAGTCAGGCCTGAGGAGCCAGGTGCTGAAAATTCTCAGACCAGGGGAAGAAAGAACTCAGCATCGATGGGGAGAGTTGGGGTACTTAGCCTTCAACTCTTGTTTGAACTGGCGGTAAAGGATCTTATTGCGCTGGTTTTCAGCCTCCTTTTGGGGATGGAACTTCAATGCTTCTTTGAAGCCCTTATGAACCAGAAAACCTTCGTTCAGCACCTCAAAATTAAATCCTGCCACGTGCAGCTCACAGGCCTAGAGGGAGGGAGGGAGGGAGGGAGGGAGGGAGAGAGAGAGAGAGAGAGAGAGAGAGAGAGAGAGAGAGAGAGAGAGAGAGAATCACAATAATTTAATGACATCTCCAGGGCCCAAATAGTCATCCCTAAAGCTTCACTCCACCCACCCCCCTCTTGGGAATTCTACACTATCCAGCCGCCACTTTCCTCCTGTTTCATGGCCTCCTTTCTATCAATGGCCACCCCATCCCTGACACACCTCCAGCCCCAGTCCCACCTGCCCTCTCCCTTTTAGGCACCTGGCTGATTCGATTGAAGCCGTACTGCCGAAAGCGCTCATCAAAGGTGGGCACCTTTCCTCCGGCCACATAAAATGGTTCCCAGGGGTCCCGCCAGGGCACCACGTAGGCAGGTCTCAGCAAGCTTTCTTCTGGCAGGTTGACCCAGCGGGAGTAGTTGGTGGGCGCATGGCAAGGCGTGCACAGCCCATAATAGAAGGGCCGGACTTCGCCCACCTGATAGAGCTGCACTAGCTCGTTCTTGTTCATCGGCATCCGGCGTGCTCGGCGGATTTCAAACGCAGGCACCACCAGGGCCATGCCATCCCAGTGGCTACTTTGATCCAACATTTCCCTCAGGCCTCTCCACAGCCCCTCGCTGGGCACCATGTCCACATCAATCACCAGGGCATAGTTAGCCTCTTCTCGAGCCAGATTCCGTAACAGGTTATTGGGATAGGAGATGTTGGTGCCCAGTGCATAATTAATCCCGGGCTGGGCCACCCTGGCTAGCTTGTCAAAGACCTCCTGGCATGACCGCAGCAGGGCAAACTCCCCAGGCTCCCGGGGGTCGGGCACAGCGGCCTCATAACGCGAGGGGCACACGAGGTGCATGGCAACCCTGGCACGCATCTCAGGGCAGTGGCTACTCAGCGCGTAGGCCAGCACCGTGGCCAGCTGTGCCTCCTCTCTGGTGGCCGCGAACACTGATACGGACAGTGGACCCTCCCAGCGCTCCAAAAGTCCGGACAGGTGCAGCAGGTTGTCCACGCTGGCATGCGTGGCTAAGATGACATCGTTGGGGTCCATGGTGGTCTTCAGTAGACCCCTGTAGACGCGATAATCGCCACTGGCATCCAGAACGCCTCCGGAGGCCAGCGCGGTGCGGAGTTGAGACTTTACCTGGTCCACGGATCGAGGGGACGGCGGGAAGAACTCGAAATACTGTTCCTGCTCCTCCTGCCCGTGCAGTCCCGAGAGCAGCGATAGGTAGAGCAGCTGCAGCATTGCCACCAACATGAGAGCGGCCAGCAGCAGCTGGTAGAAGGCGCATCGGATGGCGTAGGACATTTGCATGGCTCTCGGGGCTCCCGGCGCGAAGCGGGGACCACCGGGCCGTAGCCTCTGCCAGCCACCGCAAGCCCAGATTTACCGCAGCCTGCCGAGCGCAGCCGAGGCCAACCGAGGCCAGCCGAGCCCAGCGCTCAGCCCCGCCCTCCGTCCGCTCGCCGCGAGCTAGGTGCGTGCCAGCTCGCCCTCTGTGCGAGAGGAGGAGCTACTGCAGCGGTCGCTGTCCGGCGCGCGCTTTGCAAACGCCGTACTTAACCGCGGTCACGTCGCGCGGCCGCGGACCCCTGGACGCGCCCTTCTCCCTTGGGATCGGGACGCAGACCCCTCGACCAAGCGCGTCCTGAAACCCCCGTGCGCTGGCGGGACCGCCGGGAGGGGAACCCGTGCAGAGCTCAGCTGCAGCGCAGTCACTGATGGCGCGGTTCCCGGCTGAAGCCCTCGGAGAGGAAATTTAAAAAAACCTCTTTGTCACACTGTTTCTTCTTTCTCTGAACTTTTCCAGGTGGGTAATAGGGACGTGGATGGAAGCGTGCTTGAGGTGCGCATGAGATGAGAGATATGGGAATGTGGAAAGAGGTATCGCGTGTGGGACGAGGTGGCCGAGTGGTTAAGGCGATGGACTGCTAATCCATTGTGCTTTGCACGCGTGGGTTCGAATCCCATCCTCGTCGGTCCTGTTTTATAGGGAGAAGTCTTCTTAATTTTCTACATCCTGCCCCTCCTTAACAGTGAAGTGAAGAAATCTAGGGTCCGATTCGGTGTTCTCCACCGAATTTGCCCACTGACCGTGTTTCTGGTCAATTTCCAGCTTTCAGAACGTGCTATGGAATTGGTCAAGACTCCTATTTTCTTTCTCCTAAAAGCGACAGCGCAGGGGTGGTTACCATCCAAGACTGGTACCCGGACACCTGGCCTGACGTTGTCTGCGGGGATGTAGTGTCTGTTTAAATGACTACTTTTTCCGCGCTACTGTTTCCTCTCACTTACCCCAGGATGGAAACATCTTATCTACACACAGTTGTCCCCAAACACACATCGAAGCAGAAGGCTTGTCCAACACCAGCCACTGTACACTGAAGGCACTTAGTGTTTGTGGATGAAGGGAACCATGAAATCCTTAGCAGAAGTGTGTGGGAAGGGCAGGCACTTCAACTGCTTCATCACTCATACTTAATAAATACTTGACTTTTTTTTTTTTTTGTTTCCTTAGGGCAGAACACTGTGAGTCTTGGTAAGGAGCACTGGGGCAGACTGGAGAAGGCATTGAGTGAGAGCGTTGGCTGGGATGGGTAGGGGGCTTCCGCAGACTGTAGGGTTTCAAACATTCGGGAGACCTATATTTCAGATTGGTGCCATAGTACTCGGGAGTGCTAGCTTTCTGCCAAGGCTGTGCTGGGCACTGGGGCAGGAGACCCTGCACATACGGGTTCTGTCCTTTTCACTGAAGATAGGCTTCAGGAGAAAGGGGGACAGTTCAGAACTTTCAGCACAGGTTTTGTAGACACGGAACTCAGAAATCAGACTTGGTGCACTGTGAGGGTTTGGTTTTGTTTTTCGAGACAGGGTTTCTCTGTGTAGCTTTGGCTGTCTTGGGACTCACCCTGTAGACCAGGCTGGCCTCAAACTCGGGAGATTTGCCTGCCTCTGTTTTTAACTTCGTTTTCTTCACAAACAGAACTCTTAGAATAATAAACTTTGCAAAATAAATACTATTAAATTAGAGCTTCACAATAAATATTGTATACAAAGGAAACCTCTGGTAGCTTCTGTGTGCTGAGAAGGGGCTACAGTGAAGGGAAATGAGATGAGAATGTGGTGGAGTGGGCACTGGCTGCAGCTCTACTCCTGTTTTATTTTATTACTATTTTAAAGAGTATCTCGCTATTGTAGTCCAGGATGGGCTTGAACTTGTGAACCTCCTGCCACCGCCTCTGGAGTGCTGGGATCATAGGTTTGCACCAGCACATCTGGCTGCTTTATTATTATTATTTTACTGTTTGTGTTTTTGAGATAGAGGTTTTCTTTTTGTGGTTTGTTTGTTGGTTTGTATTGAGACAGGGTCTCTCTATGTAGTCCTGGCAATCCTGGAGCTCACTCTAGACCAGGCTGACTTCCAACTCACAGAGATTCCCCCTGCCTCTGCCTCCTGGGTGCTAGCATTCAAGGTATGCGCCAAGTCTGGCCTGAGATAGTCTTAGTATGGAACCCAAGGCTGCCTTCACGTTGATTCTCTTGCTTTGTGTTTCCAGTGCTGGGATTACAGGCGTGTATACCATGTCTGGCTCAAAATCTGTTTTAAAGTTTGAAAGATATGGTCCACATTCCCACCGGTAACCTTCTGTCCAGAGAGGCAGCATGGCTTCTCACTCTGTGTTGAAGCTTGTCTTCAGTGGCGACCAAGCTGCTTACAGCTCTGCCTCAGCCTTCACTCCCCACTCTAGCCACCTGCTGGGGCAAAAGCTTAGGGTCTTCTCAGGCTGCTTCTGAACAGGCACCTCGCCGCGTGTGCGCATGGCTTTCTACATTCCTGGATATTTGAGGGCGTTTTTCAGTCTGCCACCAAGGTCCCTTCCAGCTCTTCCTGCCAGACTTTGAGCTATTGTTTACCAGACGGGAATGGGGCATTAATTTGCCCTGTTGTGTCTTAGAGAGCTGCCCTTGACTAGAGCCTTTCCCTGGTGAGATTTCCGAGTTAGGGGAAACACAGACCCGTGCTTGGCATCAGTCCCTTGGGTGGGTTCCTAGACAATGAAAACATAAAGACAGTTCTTTTAGAACAAGGTCGGCTTCCCCTCCTAGGAGCCAGTGACCTGGGTCCTCACGGCCACCACTGTGTGAGCTGATTTTCTGTCGCTATAGCCAAACCCCTGAGGCGAATCTCATTTGGGGAAGAGTTCATTTTGGCCCAAGGTCTCAGAAGTTCCTTGGTCATTTGGCCCCAGCCCTTTGGGCCTGTGGCAGGGAACACATCAGCGGTGCTTGCGATGAGGTAAATATGCTGTTGTTTGACAGGAAGGAAGCAAAAAGGCAAGCTGGAGTCCCAAGATCCCTTTGGAGACATGGCCGCAGTGACCTGACTTCCTCCCAACAATTTCACCACCTCTGACAGCACTAAGGGCTTGAAGCCCAGCACTCCAGAGGCTGAGGCAGGGCGAGTTCCGGGGTAGCCTGGGCTACACTGTGAGACCCTGTCTCAGAAAACAAACCCAAAGACTCAACACATGATCTTGGAAATATTTAAGACCCAAACTGAAACAGCCACCCACCAACCGCAGGAGGGGATGGGACGAGGACAGGTAAAATACTACAAAGGTTTGCTATCACTTTTAGTTGCCTTAAATTTTTGCCAGAAAAAAATAACTTGTTTCTTTTATTATTTATTGACAAAAGTCCTTAAAACTTAAAACATAACAAACAAACACAAAACGGTGTGGGCACCTGCCACCAAGCTTGATGACCTGAGTTTGATTCCTGGAACCTACATGGTGGAAGGAGAGAACCAAAAGTTTTCCTCTGACTTCCATGTGCATTCTGTGACATGTGTGTAGCTGCACTCACACACATACACAACAACCACATAGAAAGCAAAAACTCAAACCTGTAAGCAGAACAAAAGGTTGAAAAAAATAAACAGAAGTCAGCATTGCTCCTTGCTAAAACCTGTCTCTGTCTCTACTCTGTGTATGTGTGTGTATATATGGGCATCTGTGTGTGTGCAGGTATGTGTGTGTACATGTGAGTATATGTACATGTGTATATGTATGTGTATGTGCATGTGTGTAGGTGTGTGTGCATATGTGTGTATGTTTGTGTGTATCTGTGTATGTATCTGCAGGCGTGTGTGTGTGTGTGTGTGTGTGTGTGTGTGTGTGTGTGTGTGTGTGTGCAGGTGTGTGTACGAGTGTGTATATACATGTAGGCCAGGGATTGACTTCAGGTGTTTTTCCCTGTCGCTCTCCACATTATTTTCAAGACAGGATCTCTCACTGAACCTGGAGCTCACCAATGTGGCTAGATGGCAGACCTGGGATCTGTGCTCCTCGGTGCTGGGATTACAGGCAAGCACTGACATGCCTGGCTTTATCACAGGTGCAGGGATCTGAAGTCAGGACCTCATGCTTACCCAGTAAGCGCTTTACCCACCGAGGTATCGTCTCCAACCTGAAACAGTTTTCTTAAAGTTTACTTCCGACCTTTCTTGTCTTTTGGTGCCTTCATTCCACTGTCCTAGTGAAAGAATTAAACATGAGAAAGAGGAACGAGTACCAGCCTCAGGCCCCTAAACCAGGTCCCCAAACTGTTAGCCTCAGCAGAAATATTCTTGTCATATTTCTTGTGGCATCAGCAGAATAACCTTGTGACATTGTCTGGGTCTAGCAGAACCTCCTGTGGCTACTCTAGGAAGAAAAGCAGCCCCCATGGAAAGTCCCCATAGCTGTACTCCCCCTCCCCAGTGCTGATCTTTAAACTAGCCAGTTATGTATTGCCCCGAATGCTATGCTAATATTATGGTTTTCGCTTTTAAAAGATGCCTGCAATTATTGTTTGGGGCTCCTCTCACTGAATTGTGTAGGGGGGTCCGTTTGCGCAAACGATTAAAATAAAGCCTCATGTGATTGCATCAACTGGTCTGGAATCCGGGTTTCTGGGGCACCCACCTGAGAGGATAGTGCCCTGAATCTGGGGTCTATCACTAGAAGTCCACAACAGCAGACCAACTTGGGGTTCAGTCACACAAAGCCTTCTTCAAAAAGCATGGCTGTCTGTGGCGCATACTTTTAATCCCAGCACTTGGGAGGCAGAGCCAGGGGAATCTCTGTGAGTTCGAGGCCAGCCTGGGCTACAGAGTGAGTATTCAGGACAGCCAGATATACATCATAGAGATACCTTGTTTCAACAAAACAAAACAGCATGGCGGTATCAGGGCTCAGAGGCAGTTAGCACCTGCAGATTCATCTGTCAACTGTCTCAGTTTCCACAACTCAGTCCCAGCTTCTGCCACCTTCAGAAGCTTCCCTTCTGAACACAGTCCTGGTTCCTTCTAGCCTCTTCCCGAGGAATGCACTGCTGGTCACGGCTTCCGTTGCTCTGGAGAACTTCAGTTGACTCTGTAAAACAGGGGAGAAGCTTGACTAAGTCTTTAGAGCATAAGGAAATATAAGTCCAGTCAGGTGACCTCAGTCAACCGTGATTTTGTTGAGAAACGCTGAGAAAGAACCAGGCCATCCTACAGTATCATGGCAACAGTTACGACTACAGAGGAATGTCCTGTTCTGTCATGCACTGCCATCCCTCACCTATTCCTTGTAATAGGCTGATCACCTCAAGGCATCGCCTCCATGTAATGGTGTTGTGTGATGTTTTGTGTTCTGACAAATAAAGCTTTCCTGGAGATCAGAGGGCAGAGCTAGCCACTAGGTAACCATAGAGGGCAGGCCGTGGTGGCACACACCTTAAATCCCAGCACTTGGGAGGAGGAAGCAGGAAGATCAGGAGTTCAAGGCCACCCTGGGCTACACGAGATTGAACCAGTCTAAAGGAGAAACAGAGCGATGGTGACTCTTGCCTTTAATCCCAGCACTAGGGAGGTGGAGACAGGAATATAAAGCAGATGGAGCTAGGATCTCGTGCCCATTCAGTCTGAGGATTTGTAGAGACAGGATCTTCCCCATTCAGCCTAAGCACTGGAAGAGGTAAGAACTAGTGGCTGGCTGCTCTGCTTCTCTGATCTTTCAGCTTTCACCCTAATATCTGACTCCGGGTTTTCATCTGTTAAGACTAATTAGGATCACACTTCAGATGGGGCTGCATTGTCCCAAGAGGCAAGAGCTGGTTGGTTCTTTTCACCAGGGAAGCTGGACTAGGCCATAGCATAGGGCCTCTGGTTAGCTAGTGGGTGACTGCTCATTACTCAAAACTCAGCTCAAGGGCTGTAGAGATGGCTCAGCAGTTAAGAGCACTGGCTACTCTTCTAGAGGACTCAGGTTTGGCTTCCAGCACCCACATGATAGTCACAACCATTACTCCAGTTCCAGGGGATCTGGCATGATGCCCTTTTCTGACTTCTGAGGGCACCAGGCACACATGTGGTACACAGACATAGATGCAGGCAAAACACCCATACACAGCCTTGGCCTAGTGACTCTAGCTAGACCAAGGCTTCAGCGCCACCCAAAGCAGAAAGTGAGGCTGTGGTGGATGGCCAGGGAAGGAGATCACAAATTTGCAGGTGTCCAAGACTTCTCTGTTGTTTTTGCTATTATTGTTCATTTGTGGTTTTATTTTTATATTGATTGATTGATTGATTCTTCAAGACAGGGTTTCTCTCTGTAGCTTTGCACCTTTCCTGGAACTCACTCTGTAGACCAGACTGGCCTCGAACTCACAGAGATCCACCTGCCTCTGCCTCCTGAGTGCTGGGATTAAAGGCGAGCGCCACCACCGACTTGATTTGTTGTTGTTTTTAAAATCCACCTTCTAACCATTTTGACCTATTATTTTGTGTGTGTGTGTGCCTGAATGTATGTCTGTGTATCACATGTAGAAGTCAGAAGAGGGTGTCAGGTCCCCTGGAACTGAAGTTAACAGACGGTTACAAGCCATAATGTGGTTGCTGTGACTTGAACCTGAGTCCTCTGGAAGAGCAGCCAGTGCTCTTAACCCATGAGCTGTCTCTCCAGCCCTGTTTGTTTCTTTTTGAGACAAGGCCTCATGTAGTCCATGCTGGCCACAAACTCCCTATGTAGCCAAAGATGATCTCGAACTTCTGATCCTCTTGCCTGCATCTTCTGAGTGCTGGGATTACAGGCATGTACCTTCCCCACTGCTAAATGCTTCTCATTAGCAGAATTTTAACCAGTACTACCCAGCCTCCTTATAAAAAGAGTCAGCACTTTGAGGGGCAAGACTGAGCTTCAAATGTCTGTGTCCCTCGCATTAAGCTGGCTCAGTCCTGTGGAGGGGCCCCAAAATAGCTTGACCACACAGCAGCCATGACAGGCTTAGGGGCCTAGACACAGCTTCTGTGACAGGCTTACTGGAGGGCAACACCCAGATCCAGGAAAAGCCTTAAGCTGATACCACCCAGGGATCCACTCAGAGGTGAGGAAGTACCTGACATCCCAAACATTCCAACCATTAGATAAGGTGGCCAGATGTCTTTGAATCTAGCACACACTTACTTTTTGTTTTACAGATACCCCTAGACAATTGTCAGCCAAGCAGGGTCCTGGACCCTGGAAATCCCCTCACCCCAACCTCTGCTATGATAAAAACTCTGCCCCCACCTGAGCTCAGGGCTCTCTGCTCTCACTGCTGTGTCGGACAGACAGAGGGACCAAGCTCTGGAGCTTGAAATAAAGGCTCTTTACTTTTACATGCGGGATTCGGTCTCTGTGGTGGTCTGTTGGGGGTCCCCGCGATCTGGGCATAACAGTCCTCTCCACACTGATACCTCCAGTGCTTGCTGATGGTTACTGGTTGTTTCAAAAGAGAGAGTGTCCGATTGCGTCGGGCCTGTATCAGGGCCAAGGAGGTAGTAGGAGCAGGAGACGGAGAATCAGGAAAGGGACAGACAGGTGCCACCCATCCGCTCAAGCATTTGTTTCCAATGGAAAGCCGGCTTCCTTTGGGTGTGATGCACTTTAGCCCCAGCATTCGGGAGACAGAAGCAGGCAGCTCTCTGAGTTCCAGTCCAGTCAGAGTTACACAGTGAGACCCTTAGCTCCAAACACAGACGGGGAGAATAGGGACTGGAGAGATGGTTCTGTGGTTAAGAGCACTGGCTGCTCTTGAACAGGACCCAGGTTCAGTTCCCAGCACCCACATCTCAGCTCACAGCCACCTGTAACTCCAGTTTCAAGGGATCTGATGCTCTTCTGGCTTCTGTGGGCACCAGGCAGAGCCATACATACATGTAGGCAAATCACTCATACACATAAGATTTTTTAAATATATATATTTTAAAGCCAGCCTTCTCCTGGTGGGAAGATGGACATTCAAGATGTGATATCAGGACCTTTGCACCGTGAGTGTTCTTTTCTGGGACTGATCCTCCACGGCTCAGCCCAACTCGTGGCTTCCTCCAGGTGACAGTGGCCCCTGTGGGTTTTCTGAGACTGCCTGGCCTGTAAGTGGATGGAGGGGGTACCTTCCTGGCCCCAGGAGAGTCTGCCAGGCTGAGAGTTCTCTGAAGGAACTGGGATCTGGGACTATCAGTCTCAGTCAGAAGGTCTTTGCCAAGAGTCCTTGGGACTTCAGCTACTTTCCCAGCTTGGGTCCAAGGCCTGCCTGCCTCTGCTCTCTGCATCAGGGGCCACACTCCTTAAGTTCCAAGCTCAGCACTCAAAGGGTCGGATCTGAGCCACAGATGCGAGGCCAGCCTTAAAGCACTTAGCCATGGGATGAAGCAGCCTCATACGAAACAGCCACACTCTGCTCTGTTCCCCAGCTACAGGGACACTTGGCTGTGGTCTTTCTGCTTCTTGTCCCTGTGTCCCAAGTCACTGTCCACATACAGCTCTGACTATGACACTCCACTAAGAAAGCCCTGTGGTTGCTGTCCTTCAACTGTAGGACAAAGTTCTAAAGGATCACTTACATAAAGCCAGGTCTTCACCTGTCCTGTCTTCTATGCCCACCTCATCCTCTCCCCTTCTCTCCCCTTCTCCTCTAGGCTTCTTTCAGAAAGTCCCGTTGTCTGTGTCTTCCACTCTCTGGCACCGCTGAGGGGAACACTCTTCTTCCCCTATTGCCCAGAAAACTCATGTTCATTCCTCAAAGTCTAGTTTGGGTAAGGCCAACCCTGACCTCCCAGGTAAGGTCAGTGGCGTCCTCTTCTAGAGTCTTGTACCGCATGCTTCTGCAGACCTTCACAAGCTGTATCATGGTTACTTTCCCTCTCTTATGGCCTTGGGTCGTGAACCTCTTTGTTTCAGTCTCCAGACCAACCAGGGCAGGTATCTACCAACAATAGTCGAAGGAATAAACCTTTATTTGAGGTCTGCCTGGTGGCTTATTTCTGCTTCCAAAGTCATAGCTTGCCTTCCCATCCTCTAAGATATCAAGAGCCTGTAGCTTCTAAGCAAGTGTCCTGTACTGGCTCAGTCTCTGGTACGTTATCAAAGACTACAGGGGTCCAGCCCTTTATGGTCTTTTCCCAGAGTTCCAGAAGAGATGCTACCAGCGGCAAGAATTAATCTGAGGGATTTGAATGAATCTAAGTACACCGAGCTCTTTAGACCATTCACTTTATTCTTCTAAGTCAAAATCCATCTACACAGCTTCATGTCTGTTCTCATCCTTAGCTCCTCTCTGTCCCTTCCTCTACTGTCCTCTCCTTGTCCTGTCTAAGTTCCTTCCATCTTCATCCTGCTCTAAGTTCAAAATCTCCCAGTGCTGTGGGGCACTGGTATAATATACACTTATAAGCAGTAATACTTTGACAATGCAATGTGAGGCATTCAGGGTCATAAAGAGAGGTGATAAGATCCACACAAAGAGCGGGGATTGTCGGCTTCATTTACAACCCAAGAGGGGAGTGATTAAAGAAGGTGGGGTCAACGAAGGGCTAAAATTGGTTAATAGATCAAAAAAGGGGATTTATGTGCTCAAACTATATTC